AATCCCCCCCCAATCCCAGCCACCACCCCAAACCAGTACAGCAATGTAGCAGTTTGACGTTCAATTAGGTTGCTTCGGTATTTGATGAGTACATAAATGTAAGCTATGATGTGTAAATATACTGCCTGTCAAAACACCATGGTCTACATTTTATGTACAAGTTTCATAAAAGACTGTTCTATTTGTCCCTTTTGGCAGAAATACATAATTCACTCATGTTCCTTACAAACACTTTGTAAAGTGGGAAGGAAAAGAATAGTTAAACATCACTGTTAGATTTTGATAAGTAAGAAAATGAATTGAAAGTACTTTCTGATTTTCAGTAAGACCTGTGCTATCATCATGTGAATATTTACCTGCAGCTCTTTCCTACTAGCCTTCTGCATTTCATCATTCAGTTTGATATAGTTTTACCATTGAATATATTTGGGGTTTTTTTCTGTCTTAAAAATATTATGTTCCTCTTACTGTTTCCTCCAAGTCACTGTTGGCATCTGTTAAGGTTATTGCAGAAATGTAGGAAAGAAAAGATTTTTTTTTCTTTTATTTAGAGAATGAGTGCAGATACAAAACCAAAAGTAGCTCTTGGGGAGCATGGCAGGGGTGTGTGTGTATATATATGTGTTTATATCATGAAGTATGTCATATACTTGTACTGTGATTTCTATAAAAACATTGGCATGCATGGTGTTGAAGGAGGAAGGAACTGTGGTTTTAAAATTGAAAAGACAAGAAAGATCTCAAATTCCTATTGGTTTTAATACTTCTGTGCCTCAGTGCCTATTTCACAGTTCTCTTCTGTTGGAAAACCACTAAAATAAGTCTCTCCTTTTGGAGCATTTAAAAATATGTGGTAAAGAGACCAATAAGAAACATAAAGACTCCATCTATTTTATTAATGGCATATATTTTATTCCTCCCCAGGGCAATGGTACAGCTCTGATATGATAGAAGAAGATGTGAAGATAAAAACATTAACAATTAGTTCATCTGTCAACCTTCGCAGCTAGTCTTCCATCAAACATATTATGCAGCTTTTTTTTTTAAATTAAAAAAAAACACCACACCAGGAAAGGAGTTTTGACTTAAGTAAAACATCTCAAGAAGTGATTAGTGCTTTTCTATTTTTGCTTTTTAATTAGTGGCCTGGGAAATAAAAGAAATGCCTTACATTCAGACATTCACTGTACCATTATAATATTGTTCACTGTGGATACTTCTGCCCATTGTTAATGTCGTTGCATATATTATATGGGTACAGAATTAGATTTCCAAATCTGACACAAAAATACATTTGCTATACTGATGCAAAAAACATCTGGACAAAAGGCACAGTTGAATAATTTGTGCAGCACTGTGTGAAAATTCAGTTTCACTAATTAGTTAGGATAAAGAGAAGGGAAAACCAGTTCAAAGTAATTATTTTTAATTAATTGTTTCCATCTATTGCTAAAGAGGAGTAGAGCGATAACTGCTTTTTTTGAACATAAGTTAAATACTGGCTTAACGCATCCTGATTGGACAAGTCGTAAGCAGTTACCTGCCAACAGGGAGCACAGAAGTGGATGTATTCTCACTCTTAATTTCTCCTTCTGTTGACACAATATCAAACAGGCTAATTCTGCTTTGTTTTATTGGGTGCATTTCTTTCAGAGCAGATATACTGACTGTATTTAAAATGAGTCAGCCCCCATGGAGGTTGAACTGTGTCCTGATTTGGTCTTTCAGTTTCCAGATCACTGCTGGTATCCTATCTGTATTGTGGGTGAAACAGGAGTTAAGTAAGGACGAAGAAAAGCCAAATATATTTTTCGCGCTGGAGTTCTGTCAGTTCTATAAAGCCGTGGCAGTGTGAGGCAGCAAGACAGCACCACAGCTACACACATACTAGAGAGCTGTAGTGCTTGAACCCTTGTGGGTAGCTGAGCCCCACCCAGCCATTCACTCAGCCCCATACCCCCAGGGTGGGCTGGAGGAGAGAGTGGGAAGAGTAGAAGTGAGAAAACTTGTGGGTTGAGATAAAAGCAGTTGAATAGGGAGAGCAAAAGCTGCGTGTGTGAACAAAGGAAAACAAGGAATTCACCCAGTGCTTCCCATTGCCTGGAAGGTGTTCGGCCATCTCCAGGAAAGCAGGGCTCCATCATGTGTAACAGTTACTTGGGAAGACAGATGCCCTAAGTCCAAATGTTCTCTCCTTCCACCTTCTTCCCCCAGCTTTAAATGCTGAGCATGACATCACATGGGCTGGGATATCCCTTTGGTCAGCTGGGGCAGCTGTCCCGGCTGTGTCCTCTCCCAGCCTCTTGTGCCCCCCCAGCCTGTTTGCACATGGGGCAGTGTGAGAAACGGAGAAGGCCCTGATGCTGGGTGAATGATGCTCAGCAGTAGCTGAAACATCAGTGTGCTGTCAATGCTGTTTTGGTTACAAATCCAAAAGATAGCTTGATACAAGCTACTGTGAAAGAGATAAATTCTGTCCTAGCCAGAACCACAACAAATGCCAAAAAGGCAACACAGATTTGGCACTGTAGAATGGTAAGTGGTGATTTCTGGAAAATAAAACAGAGCTAGGGATTTGTACATGGATTTTATACAAATTAAAGCATATCCAGTCTTTAACGATGAGAGAATTTAGGGCACCACTTTGGTCCACAGCTTGCAATGGACTTGGATGAATAACCAGTCAAATTATTGAAAGTCAAACCTAGACGTGTGTTTGTAATATTTATACTGACTAACACCCTTTTCAGTAGTTCCCCATTTCCAATAGTGCTTTCTTTGCATAAATTTTATACTGGAAGAACACTTTATTGTAAGTATTGTTCATCATCCTGTATTTCAGCCTAAAAAATCCAGTAAAACTTTGGTTCTAGAACTAAGTATGAGGACACCCCTAACTAAACATGTTCTAACTTCTGACAAATACCATCATCTTTTTGTCCTGAGGAGTAATCAAAGACTCTTGAGCTATAAGATATCTAGTTACCAGCAAATAAGGTGTGAGCATGGGCGTCTTTGGCATACTGTGAGTGTATAGTCTGTATCATTCCCTAAAGCTCTTCCTGTTCTGCCAGTCATGAGCTTGATAATTTGAGAGTTGGAGGGTATGATACTGGCATAGCGTGCAGCACTTGTGGAATATCCTGCTTTGAAGAAAGGTTAGTTTCCTAGGTTCACGGGCTAACAGTCTTACAGTTTTTCATCAGGAATAAAGCGTCACATAGTTTTGTTTTCTAGGTTAGTATGGGCATTTGTTGTGTTATTTGAGCCTGGTATTGCTAATGAAGTCCTGTTCAGTATAAATCAATGAACCTAGAATTAGGATTTTTACAAATTTCACAATACATTAGGTTTCATCTGTGACTTTTTTTTTTTCCCCACCAGGGTTTTAGTATCTTTAGTTTTATACCATTTAAACCTCTGTTCTAGGTAAAGAATATCAATGAGTACATGCAATATATTTGCTGAAGTGTTTCTTTCTAAAACTTCCTCAGACACTAGGAAATACATAGATAGAAGTGCTTATAATCAGTGTGGAAGAAAAATGAGCAACCTGAATTTGTTGACCATAGGTTTCTGTAAATTGAAATGTTACTTTGCAGATCTGAAGTCATGCTACAGGTGGTTAGTGTTTGTAACAGTGCAGTTAGACAACTGGATATTTTGGGAGATACTGAGTGCCTCCTGCTAGCAGTTGCATGAAAAATGGGCAATGAATTTCATATGCGGGAGCTATCCTCATCTTTTGAAAATTCCTGAGTGTTAATTTGCAGAAGCTTCTCATACAATGAATTTTGGATGGTTCAGTTCCCTTATTGCCAGTTCTAGCTGCAGAACACTACTTCCCTTGTCACTTTGACTTCCCAGATGTGACTGAGTGCTCTGCTGTTTCTGCTTTCTTCTATCTTACAGGACCTCTAAGTTATCACCCTCTCAGAAATGCTTCTCGTTTATAACAGTTTGATGCTCAACAAAGACAGTAGCAATAAATACAAAGAAGAAAGCTTTCCTAGTAAAGGAGGTTTTCCATAATAAGAAAGTAACTGCTGAAATGGTGTGTGTCCAATCAAGCCTTCCACAGCCAGGGTGGACCCAGGATTATTACTGTGTATGAGAAAAAGTATCTGGCAAAAAAGCTGGAGAGGAGATCGTATTAAGGAAGTCAAACTTTGGCTTAAAATGTTATCAGGAGCGCATTTTTTGCTCTGATGCTAAAGTAATTCTGTTGACAGTATATGGTTTATACCAGACCTTACCTTATGATGTGTTGGGATTTTTTTTTTTCCTGATAGCTGATTATCATGGTTAGCATTTCCTAGACTGTGTTTGTGTTCATCTTATGTTTTTTAAAAACCTTACCCAACTGTCTAAAGCTAACGTCTCTTGCAGCTATTGACAAGCAATGGTATCTGCTCATGTTCCACCACTTGTAACAGATATGTTGACCAAAATGATGCAGTTTGTATCTGTTCTTATGTATCTCATACTCTTCTCTGTTCTTTTATTTGCAGTTTCTGGTTTTCAACCTGCAGTTCCAAGTTGTTAATCCTCTGCCTATATTGTGACTGTCTTCTGGTGCTTTAAGGGTTTTTCTCTTTTTTTATAAATAAAAATTTTTATCTCATTTTTGCAGGACCGAACCAGAATACTGAACACAAATAGCAGCAGCAGTAGTAACACTTTTTCAAAGACCCACAAGTTAACAAGGGAGCACAAGGAAAAAACTTACAGAGACTCAAAAGAACATAAAAGTGCCTTCAAAGAACCTTCCAGGGAACACAACAAATCTTCCAAAGAATCCTTTAAGAAACCCAAAGAAAACAAACCACTAAAAGATGAAAAAATAGGTCCTAAAATAGCCTTCCAGGAACCCAAACTCATGTCCAAGGAGCCAAAATCTGAAAAAAAACATGTTGTTACCGTAACAGGTGGGGTGCAGCAAGAAAAGAAGACCCCTACAAAAAGACCCTCTGTTTCTGACTCTGATGAACGTCCTAAAAAAAACAGAAAAAGAAGTGACTCGGGCTCATTACTTGGAAGTTTTTCTAGCACTCCACCACTGACTTTTACTTGTTCAGCTGACAAAAAACAGAAGAAGCATAGATGTCAACTCAAGGTGAGGAGAGTCAAAATTGAAGATGATGCACTGGAAAGGAAGACACCAACTCTGCCACCATTTGAAGATATTGTAGATCCTAATGGTTCTGATGTGGAGGAAAACACATCCTCCAAATCTGAAGTAAGTGATGTTTGGGTTTGCTTCATCTATGCTGGGAATTGCCAGTGTGGGTGAGGGATTGTGGATCGTATTTTTCTCTTTCTTTCTCTTGTCTGCTGGCAGATTGTTCAAACTGAAGGATGTTGACTACTGGCTCTTCCAACTTATGCACGTTTTCATTGTACTGTGCTGCCTGTTCAAGTCTACTCAATTTATAAATCTGTCAGCATTATGATTAATGAGCATCTGGGAGTGGCTCTAAAAAATACTGCTCTTTTGATCTTTTGAATTTCATGCTTCTTGTGAGAAAAAAAGAAATTGATTTAAATGCTTGTATTTCGCACCCTAAGACTTCGTGTTCACGTGTTAAATAATTCACTAAATTCAGGAAAGTATTGTGGTAAGTCAGAGTGTTAATTGTTATTTTTCTGCTAAAAAGGGCAGTTCTATGAATGGTGTCAGGTTTGCAAAGGAGGAGATGTTCCTCAAATCCTTGGTCTTATAAGGACACATCTACACAAAGTAACAGGGTTATCCGTGAAGAAAGACTTGTTTTAATGGAAGTTTACTTTCCTGAAAATATTTGTCTGCCATGCCTGCTCATCTGTTTCAAGCATCATTTGCTCTTGATTATTAGGATTTTAATTGTTCTAACAGGTTTTCAGAAGCATCTGTTATAGAGAGATGGGGTGGGAAGAGAAATCTTGTTTGGTCCCTTTATTTGTGCGTATGGCTGGAGGTAGTGTGCGTGACAGAGAGCAAGTCTTCCCAGCCGTGCCTGTTCGGTTTCCTTATTTGCTGTTTTCAGTACTGTGCTTCTGTTACTGCCATCAGAGTCACAGCCCTGCTTGCCCCCTCTGGAACAGACTATTATACCCTGCTGTGAGGAGGTGTCAATGTTAGGTGTCAACATTTTACTTTGTAGAAACTTGCCATGAGGGAGAAAGTAATTTATTTCTGAAGTGACCTTTTAATGACTGGGCCCTTAGGGCATGCAAAGACTGTAAAATTTGGAAGGTATGGAGCAGGATAGGCTTCACTTTACAACAAGGCACTGGTGATACTGTGATTGAGGTGGCATTCCCGTTCTGGTTTAGAACTTAGGAAAATGTCTTTAAACCTGAGAATGTTCACACTTGTCAGCATTGATGTGAATTAATTTTTTATATCTTCAAAAAATGCTGAGTCTTCTGTCTGAATTTATCTCAGTGCCTCTAAGACTTGCTGCCTACCCTCAGCATAGCCAGTAATTAGCATAGATTTTGCTTTCAGATTTCCTATTCATTCAAATAGGTGCCATGTAGTAGCACATAGACTTACACTGGCAGCAGCAGTTCTTAATTTTTCTTCAGAGACAAAGAATTGAGCAACTGCAGTGTAACTGGAGTTTTACACATGCAGGCACTACAGATGTGTGCTGTGTACAACTTGCAGATAACTGATACGTGAAGGATACAGATGTTGCTTAAAAACAGTCCTTTTTAGTAGCTGTCGTGTGCTTTCCTCCTTGTCATCTTGCAGCTGCTAGCCCATTACAAATGTGTAATGGGTACAGCCCTGTGTTTTTCATAGGATGAACCAAATTCACTTGCGCTGGTGTTCGCCATCCATCTGCAGTTGACCTGCAGGACCTAAGGAGTTCCTTAATTCTGTACAAAAGCAAGAAAGCAGATTAATTTTTCTCTACTTCTGTGAGTGGATGTTAATGAGATCCTATTCACAGAGGTGCAGATCATGCTAGTTTGGGCTCTGGTGTATTTTAACATTGACATGCTGGATCATCTAACAGATAAGTCTTCAGTGGGAGGGCCGGTGCACATCTGTGTGGGTTAAAATGTTGTCTGTTGCTTTGAGTCTGTGCTCATTAATGAATAAGGTTGAGTCGGTGAATGAATATGGCTTCAGTCGGTGACGGGATATTATTTCAAAAGTCAATAATATTTTTAGAAAATATATCTAGAAAACCAGTAATAATTCCCTAAGGTGACCGTGGATTCACACCATTGTTAGAGTTGTATGAGAAAGATCTGGGCAGACTGGTTAATGGGTGTCTACAGGATTTCAAAGATTCATTCCTTCTACACTTCATTAGTTTTAACCAGGAAGCCTAACGAAGGATGACCAAACGGTGTAATAGAAGTAATTCTGTAGGTTGGAAACAATAGTTTGAACTTTTTGTGTATGTTGGTAATTTTCTTATCATTTCAGGAAAAGCAGTAGATTTTACAGCTAGACCCATTAAGGGTATATCCTGCAAATACAGTCATCTGCAAAAAAAAAAAGGTAAAAGTGGAAATATTACAAAGAGGGTAATGCAAGTGAAAATATGATAATGCTTTCATTATACAGGAACAGTTATTTCAGAGCTGTTCATGCTTCATGATGCAAACTAATGTAGTTGCCTGAAGCTGCAAAGACACTTCTTATGGCTTGATCTGGCATAATAATATACTATAGCATTCAGTCAATGTTATTTCTTACAGTAGTACAGTTACAGTGGTGGGTATCGTACTGCTGATGAACAAAAAAATGTATCCTTATTTAGGAGTGTATTCAGTAGGATTTATATCCAAAGTGGCTTTAGAAAAGTAAAACCGCAAAACCCATCTCAGCAAATTTGTGTTAGATGCAGCAAATCAATACCTAAAAGAAAGGTGTTAGGATACCACAAAAAATAATAACGTTGAGTCAAGAGCATTTTTTCTAGTTTAAGTTACATTTGTGACATCGTACAAACCTAATATTGTATGAATTGTTGTAGTAACATTAAGAATAACTTTGCTAAGAATTTTATGAGGACAGTATTTTCTTTACTCCGTGGAGTAAGAGATGTTCTCATTCTCAAATATACATGCCCCAAAACGGTGACTGTTTGCTGTCTTGATGTTAGCTCATATGCATAACTACACATATCAAACGTAATAAGTCTCTAACAAAAGGTGTATTGTACCCGAGCTGTCTGTAAGTGCTCTGTAGTGAAGGCTGTATTATTTCAGCTAGAATTACTTTTGTTGTACTTTTGTATTTTACAGAGAGTTCAATTTATCAGCGGGTGCACAAAGTCAAGTAGTTACTGTGTGCATTTCTTTAAAAAAAATAAAAAATAAAAAAAATTTGGAGAGCAGGTAGAGATCTTTATTTCAGAGGTTTTAGGGGAGTGTTCCCTTGACAGATGTCCTTTGCTTCCGAATTTTGCCCATTAACTCAGTTTTGTGTGTGAAAAGCAAGTTAAGAAGTGAGACATCAGCAAAGAGTGCTGGCATCTTTGGAAATTCATCCAACAACATGCATAGTAAAAGTAGAGGAACTCGTATGTCTTTTATCAAACATATTCACCAGAAGCTAGAGCTTCATACAAAAGTAAGTTTCTTCTTATTGCTGGTCACACCAAAGACTGTTTTCAGAGTTCGGGGCAGTCCATGATCAGCGCTCAATTGCGAAGGCTGTGTTCAGGTTTTTAAATTAAGTCCTGAGAAGTCCTCATGGTAGAGGAAGTGGACAAGCATCATTAAACAGAGGTGCTGTTTCACTGGGTAGGTGCTTCAGGAAGGCAATACTCCTGCTCCCCTGATTTCTCCAGGTACAACCCCTGTTCAGTGAATCAGCATGGGATGTATCCTTTCAATTAACGAGCTTCAATTTCAACAGAAAAGCAGAATGTGCTCAACCTTTCTCAGTATTGGCATCATGCTCTGCCTAGTTCTGGGCATTCAGAGTTGAAAAACTGGCCTTCATCTTCATGAAGTGGAGGATGTAGAGGTTTAGCATCCTCCAAGAAAGGCAGATTCTTTTTCATGAGGTAGAGTATGTCTGCTAATGACTAATCCACCCTTTGAACTGTTCCGTAAAATTCAGGTTTCAGAATGCATCTGTGTTAGATAGTGATGCCTCAGGGGCGGTTCAAAAAGCCAGACACTGTCCTCTGATGGCCTGCAGTGAATCCCTGGTTTGAGCTCCAAATACCTTTATAAAATTACAGTGGGAAATAAAATTAATCTCATCCTTGCTGACCCTTGTTTAATGGCCTTTCTGTGCATGACTTAAAGAATAAGACCACATATAGTAATTTCTCTGCTCTATTTAGTTTATGCTGTAGTGTGGTGCATTGCTGTATTTATTTTAGTTCTGTTTTTCTCTTGACTCCGAGCTGTTGACAAGTGAAGTTTGTGTGTTCATTTCTCTATACTCTGAATATCTCTTTTCAAATACGTGATTTAAAGTGTGTTGGACTTTAATCTTTGGAAGTAGATTAAAGTGTGTTGGACTGCATTAGTGATAGACTTCATGCTCAAAACAGTGTGGGTCTTCTTAGAGTCATAGACTAGCAAAGCTATTTGGGAGCAATGTGTGCTATATTCAGTTAGAAATTACACATAAAGGCTGAGGAATTATTTTACTGGCTTTGATATGAAGCATGTAAAGTAGGATATGGAGTCAAGGCATGTTAGATTTATGGCTTTATTGAGGCATAGGAATATGAGCACAATCCATTTGAAAACTCAAGATTTTGAGTTTAAATTCCATGGGTTAAACAAAACTCCATCTGTTTGCTTCGTATATGGGAGAGTTCAGCAACATGATAAAAAAAAATGACTTGACCTTCTTGATTTTGCTGCCTGTCTGATCATGAAATTTGTGTGAGCTGCAAACTACTATACAAGATAGGGAAATACAGGATTTCACATCTATGGGAGGCATTTTCTGTGGCCCCAGCTGCCCCTCCTGAACTGTGAAGCCATTGCAGGAGGGATGCTCTGATACTTTTTGTTTGATTATTACCAGTTTTGTTAGTCTGAGAATCAGGGAAAAATGTTGCATAGTGAAGCTGCTGCAGCAGAAAGACATGAAGGAGAATCACGCAAATCCTATGTGCATGTTTAGGTGTTAACAAATGCCTCAGGGTATCTCCAGCTTCAGTGATCTGGATAAACACTGTTAAAATATGCCCCACGCATGAAAGTAGTTTGGTGGATTTTTTTAGAGAAAGCGTGTGGCTCTGTTGGATGAATTTCTGCTACTGG